CGTCACATAAAGAGGAAAATCAGAACGGCTTTTTGGAACATACATTTCCTGATAGATGGAGCAAGAGGGTGGTCTTCTTTCATACCTAACGGGTCTCTAAACATGCAGGGGACATGTCGAAATGCTATGCAAAAAAGTGAATTTTGCTAAATATCTGACCTTAGATACACAAGACTGCTATTGTTTTCCTTTTTCCCATCAAAAGTTGAAGTAGATAAATAAAAACGTATTACTTAAGTGTTACTCCCCAAAATGTATTGTCTGCATCATTGAGGCTTTTCTTAAAACCTGCATTCTTTCTTGCCTGTTGGCACATTGTTGTTTCATTACAAACAATTACAACCAAATGATATGTCATATTATGACGACTATTTGAGTAACTGTGTGGTATGGAGATTAACATGTAATAGTCTTCCTATCAACAGACAATTGTGTGGCCCTCACCTCCGCAAACTGGACTGCAATACACAGTGGAAACCTGACAGCAAACCGGACATCTGGAAATCCTCCCAAGTCTTCAGTCTCTTTGTTCTGGGAGTGAGTCAGTGTTGTCCCATCAAGCTCATAATACATTACATAGGGTAGCAGCAGTCAAACAAGATAATTCTTCATGTGTACAGCCCAGTGGCGGGCCGTGCATTTTATACCTGGGCCTTCAGTGCTGTCCTGCAGCTGAAACACCTCCTAATAACCTCATGATGGCACCACAGCTACGGTTATTTGTTTCTAGGAGTGTAACAATACACGTATTCGTATTAACCCGTTCGGTACGAGGCTTACGAACCGAACAATACGTTTGAATAATACTAGTGCATTTGGAAAATGCAGAAGCTTAAATTGTGGGAAATATTATGTTTTCGGTGGACTGCGCTCACATAGGAGACAACGGAACCTGGAACAATAACAAAACAAAACAAAACACAGCTGAGGCCCCGCACTTCTGGGAGGCTACGCTAAACTAGCTTAACAAACAATAACTCCGCGCATGACGGTATGCTTCGTAATTAACGGACAATGCATATAGTCCAAATCTATATAATTAACACGACAACAACAAACTCACAAGAACCAGACACATATATTCATATGACAACAAAGCAACAAATCAATCCAGCAGACCTGCAGCAACACGCATTCTGCTACACACTCAAGGGCCATTCAGATATTAGATATAAAAAAACAAATGCAGTTGACTTAAATGCTGTTCACTTAAAGACAAACTCCATCCTCCTTTCTTTGTTGACAAAGAGTTTAATCCCACGGTTAAATCCCAACTCACAAATCTGTTTCTCCTCCTTCAGCCATTGAGTGTTAAAAAAACAAAGCTCGGTAAAAAAATAAATAATCTATTCTACACCAAGCAAAATGCAAAAAATGTCATAATTTATTACATATCTTTCAATTTGAACTCTTACTACTCTGACTTAGCCTCTGCTTAAGTTTAGTTTTCCAATAGTCACGTGCTCGCCCACTGACCAATCACAGCACTCGCTGCACCTCACTGCAGACCTGCACCTGGAAACTGAACTGCCTGTTAATGCTGACGTACTTGTAGGCCAGCTCGCAGGCTCTGACACGTCAAAGAATACGCCCAACATGTCAAACTAAAGATCTGATTGGTTGAAGACTATGACAATCAACAATATGGTCCCCATTCACTTAAAGTGCACATGGATTCACTTGTGAGTCTGCAGGCCTCGGGCCTCTCTTCTTACCTAGAGACACAGAGGTGAAATCTGATTGGATAAAAGCTCTACTTAAAACAAGCTGCACTGGAAGCAGAGCAACTGAGGAAGACAGGAGCTGTGCAATGAGAACATAAGATAATGGGAACAATATTTTTATAAATTATAAAATAGCTATAGCTTTGTGATTCTGTCTAGGCCAGCAGAGAAGGCCTTGCAGGCCCTGATTGCCCACCACTGGCACAGCCATCATTGACTGTTTGGTATCCCCATGCAGGAGAGGAGTATTGTCCATGTCTGGGGGAATAGAGGAGGTTGGTGCAGTACAGTGGGAGTTGCTGCTGTGTCTCCTGGCCTGCTGGGTGGCCTGCTACTTCTGTGCCTGGAAAGGAGTCCGTTCCACAGGAAAGGTAAATGGTAACATTGGTGTGAGGATTCAATTGCCAAAACTGTCTTCCATAAAATAATTATTACACCGGCAGTTACAAAATTGAGGTTTGAAAGCTTTCGAAGGGTTCGAACTCTTCAATTATCTATTTTTGCACATAACGTCCACTTCACAGTGGACTTTTTAAAATTGTATAGCAGAAATTTATGGTAACATGACTATGAAAATACAAGAATGGAAGTTAGTACAGGTCAAAATTTGTATTTTATTTATTTTTTCCATAGAAAATGTTCACGTCACTTTAGTTGTAATTCACAAATGAAGAAAATTGGGAATTAGAGGCACCAACAATAGTGGCAGTAGATTTAAACCAAATACCAGTGAGGGTACGTTTGCATCAGTTTATTACTGTACATCTTGAATTAAAATAAAAAAAATCAAGTTCAGACTGTTTGATGTTGGTATATTTATCTAGGACTTTTTGGACTAAACAACCTTCATAAGGTATCATAGCACTGCACGTGCTAATAAAATGTAAAATGAGTGAGCTTATCAAAATGAACAGCATCCTACACATTGTTCATATCCATTTGAACTTGTTAGTAGACTGAAACAAGTAACATGATTCAAATATAGGATTTCTCATTCTCATTGCAGTGCAATGAGAATGCAACTTTACAGTGTCTAGATAGTTTGAGTTTGAGTATGTTTTTCTTTACTTATGTCGATTTAAGTGTCACACCTAACTGAATTGACCAGACAAAAGAAAGTAGTTCTTTGTCACACTGGCTGTCAGGGGCAGGCGTTCGACCACTGACATTTTTTCACAATGTAGCTGGCCAATCAGGATGTGCCTACACCAATGCGTGTGAATCCTACAGTATATAAGCCAGCACACCTTGCTTTTGAGCCATACTTTTCTTTTCATGGAATGGCAATTTGCCCACGTACTGCCTATCTCAACGGATGGAGTCGACTATTCAAGAACCTTGTCAGTGCTCGTCGTGTCTCGGTTTGTTTTCACTGGATGGATCATCACTACGTCTGCTTCGAGTGCCCAGGGACCATGCAGAGACAGGCAGGGACCATGCTGCCTGTGGTAATTCCTGTTGAGATGCCTGACCTGTCAGGGTATTTATTTTGTAAAGCCCAAAATCACAAATCACAAATTTGCCTCAGAGGGCTTTCTTGGCTGACACGGCTGCTGTTTTGTTTAGCTTGTTTCAGACATTTCCACACATCCACACATGCTGACATTACTGATTACTGACTGTACATGTTTGTTTAGTTTAGTTAAAGGTATCCTTTAAATAAATGTGTTTATTTATTATTTTTACACTCCTCTGGTCTCGAACAAGAACAAAAACTATGAAAAAAAAGAAAACTTGTGTTACATAGACTTGCCAATATCTGTATCCAGCTAAGCTGCTATATTAGTGTAGCAACGGGACACGAGCACTCAGAGGAGATTCTAGCAGCGGGACACTAAGGACTTGCTAACGTTTAGCCAACAAGCCACAGAAGGGAGCCAAAACGCTTGTGTTGAATGTAGCTTAGCCTCCCTCATACAAAACGATCACCTGGTGCGATTTAATCCTATTTATTATTGTGAGACATAGCATACATAGCAACATAGCTTGTTACCTAGCTAGCTCCTCACTAGTTACTGCCTGCTTGCATAACGTGCTGGCTAGTCCGTTCCTGTCTGTATGCATCGGAGAGCTCTCGCCACGTCTGTCTTTGTGAGCAGAGAGAGAGACAGCTCATACACACAGATAATACGTAAAAAGAGGCTCAAGTGGGGCTATTTCTGCCTGTATTGGTTAATGACGGACAAATCCGTTTTTGAACGGTTTCCCTCACAATGTATGTCGGATTTGTATTGTATTGATGTAGCTGTATCAAAGACTCTTGAATTGATTTTACAACATTTATCAGTTAATCTTTACACCCCAAGGTACTTCCTTGCATGATTTTTTTTAACAAACCAAAAAAAGGGCTACTGAAGGACTGACTTCATTATTTTTTTGTGCTGTTTTAAATCATTTTAAATAATAATAATAATAATCCCTGATTTGAATTTCTTCAGGGAATGGTTACAAATGGTTAATGAATATGAACATTCAGGCAAAGTGTGCAGAAATGCGGACTTACAGAAAGTGTTCATAAAGGACGGAAAATGTCTGCAAAAGAGCCCTCAAACACTAAATGATCTGACAGTGGGACAATTATAAAGCTATTACGAGAATGCGAATCAAAGTCCACGAGTGTAGTGATTGGAATTGGTTCTATTTATCAATTAATTGATGATTCCATCTATCGGTCAAAACACTGCAGCCCAACGTGGGGCTCGAACCCACGACCCTGAGATTAAGAGTCTCATGCTCTACCGACTGAGCTAGCCGGGCGATGAGTGATCTAGTACTGCAGCAGCTCGATGAAGCTACCCTATAATGAGTGATATTTTATTACCTGGTCGACCTTACTATAATTCTCTCACACATACACAAATAAATCAATGAAAGACCAAATATATTACATTAAGCCAGGAAACACTGCTCTGCTCGTATAACCTGATAAAAAGCTCCAAACTTATTTAAATACACATGACACTTTTACACTACACTTACATCTCACTTGTTATAGTCCTGTTATCTGTTCGCTTGTGCACTTTATTTTAGATTTCACTATATTTGACTGTAAATTGTAATATGTTTCTATTTTTTGCAGTGTTAATTGTTGTTGATTGTTTAATGTTAAGCACCTCCCGTCATGTCAAAATCCTTGTATGTGCAACATACCACGGCAATAAACGGTTCTGAAATCTATCTATCTAGCCCAGGGGTGCCCACACTTTTTCGGCTTGCGAGCTACTGTTAAAATGACCAAGTCAAAATGATTCACAAAATGCATTCAATGACCACATCTTTCTGATAAAAATGACTTTTAATTAATGCCACTTCATTTACTTACTTCAAGACACTGGCCAGTGTTACACCTCAGTTTTACATTAGATCAATTTATGTGCGTTTTCCAGTAGAACAAGTTGTAGCAATTAACAAACAAGTCTGAATATACAAAATGGTAAATTAATTTGACAAATAAATGACCAGTGATTCATCACGAATGGATTGTCTTGTGAATCATGCAGCAGATTCTTCTCTCACATCCTGGAGGTGAAGTCTGCTCTCCTGACCAGGGACCGGCTCACCTCAGATACAGAGCGACAACCTACACGCACACACACACACACGCACACACACACACACACACACGCGAGAGAGAGAGAGAGAGAGAGAGAGAGAGAGAGAGACAGAGAGAGAGTCATGAGCACACCCATGTTAAAATGCCCAACTTACCAGAAGTAAAAAACATGTTTCCAACCCGGTACAAAACTAAACAGCTTTTCTCTATAGCTAATTCCCCTGTTGATGACAACTGTATGGTTTCAATTACATTAAGGCTTAAACTTATGAAAATGGTCATCCATAAACCAATTAGTAAGGTCACGGTGGCTACGTCCACCTTTATATAGTCTTTGGCGTTTCCACAAAGCAGGTGCCCCGTGTGTGTGTGTGTGTGTGTGTGTGTGTGTATTTATGTAGTACCTGATAGGGCCATAGCCAGTCGCAGCTCATCTTTTAGAAGTTCCAGAATCTCTGTAACTCCTTGTTCCCCCTGGACACACACACACACACGCACGCGCACACACGCACACGCACACGCGCACACACATCTTTGCTTAGTTGCGTGTCACATTAGAGTGTTGTTTTGTAAATTATTTATTTAGATAGCCTGAGATATTTTTTAACAATAACCGTTCTTGTTTTGTTACATGCTGCCCACTTTCCAAAAACATAACCAAAATGATTCAATAAAAGCAAATGTAAATTCAATTTTTCCAAAGTCCGAAGCGTTCAGTTTGAGTCCTCCACATATCAACAAGTGTGGTGCTTCACCTGACAGGCGAGGCCCCACAGCACGGGGCGGCCGATGAAGACAGCCTTTGCTCCCAGAGCCAAGGCCTTCAGGACGTCTGTCCCTCGCCGCACTCCTCCGTCCATGTAGACATCGCAGCGACCCTGCACTGCCTGCACCACCTCCTCCAACACATCTAGCTACACGCACGCACGCATGCACACACGCACACACACACACATTTTACTTCATATGTGTTATTGCCCATGAAAAATATAAACCTCTTACAAGTTGGGTCTGTGTATCCATGGCATATCAGACAGATTTGTCCACTCATTATTCTCTGTTGTCATCTTCAGCCTCCACTCACCAATTTCCAGAGGGGAGAGCGATGCCCTAACCAATCACTAGAGACCGTATCCGCCTGAATGTAACATCGTTTTAGGTCGACACTGGTGGGTAGCCATGTCAACATATTGGTTTTGCCATTGTTTTGACAGTGTAGCAGAGCAAAATGAAAACCAACAAATTACGATGTCAGGTGATATTGAGAAGACATGCCGTCGATGGAGTGAGGTACCGCTGTGTCATGTCATGATGCTCGTAGAATCAGTCAACTCAGTAGAGCGTGTGGATTCAAAGGCAAATCAAGCTTTGCTCCATCTAAAAACTGTGATAACAAAAATCAATACATATCTTTTGGACTTTGCGATTGTTTGCCTGCTTGCCTGTTTGTCTGCGTTGGACCCCCGCCGGCCTTTGAATTGAGTAAAGCTGAACTTTCTTACATGGATCGCTCTATGTTCCATGCTTTGAGGTTCTGCCACTTACAGAAGTGGCACTCGACCAGTGGTTTACTTCATGTGCCGCCTGACAATGTGGTAAAAAGAAAATAGGGTTGCTGTGCCGTGTGACAATAGACCCTAAATTCCATAAACATTCTGAAATTGCGCGAAAGACTTTTTATGCCGGCTTGTGGTGGTGTTTGCCTTTGTTGAGAAAGAGTTGATGTGCTAAATGGGGTATGGAAACGGTGTTGCTTAATACATTTGGATAAATGCTGACATGGCGAACGTTGACTGATCAGCGGTTTCTTCCCGGTTATTCCCTCTATGTGTCTTTGTCTCCGACAGCATGAAACATGGCCATTAGCTAACATGAAAGAACAATTAAATATTGCCCAATTGAAACAAATTCCTCTCTCTTGCTTATTGTTCATGAGTTCGATGTTACACCTTTTTTGTGACATTTTAGAAGTTCACTTAAAATTCAATTGACAATTGAATGGAAACACGACTCAGAAAGGCTGAGAAATGTATGGAATAACTCCATACCGTTATGACACCAGTTAGTATCTAGTTGGTTAGTAGACTAGATTAGGTTCCATGTTTAAGTATATTGTAAGTCTAAGGCGGCTGCACTTTGCTTCAGTGGCTACTGTCACCTGAGAGCACTGTCAGCTGGGACCGCGAGGACAATGGATGGATGGAAGTCTACGGCATTACTGTGCAGAAAGGTCCGGATTGAGATGATGTTGTATACAGCATTATTAGAAGATCATGTTTGATTGTCTGGACTGTAAAAAGTTCCATCATATCAGAGATGGATGACACTCTTGTACCTGGTATTTTAATAAAACAACAATTCTCACACACACACACACACACACACACACACACACACACACACACACACACACACACACACACACCGTGGCAGGAACCCCATCCAGTTGTCGAGCTCCGTGATTGGACACCAGGATGCCATCGACGCCATAGATCACAGCCTGGGCGGCGTCCTCACCTGACGACACACACAAACACTGCAGAGGAAGTTTGCCTTGAACCAGACAACAACGAAAAACAGTTGATTGATTGCGTATTTGCATCGCTAGTAGTTGGCTAGAAGTAAGATCCCGATGCCACACTAAGCTTTTCTTAGTTCCAGAAAGACAAAAACACGAGTTAAGGCTGTAAAAGCAAATCAA